TACTACCGACCTCCTACCGACCTGCTACCGACCTCCTACCTACCGACTTGCTACCGACCTGCTACCACCGACCTGCTACCGACTTCCTACCAACCTCCTACCTACCGACCTGCCACCGACCTGCTACCGACCTCCTATACCGACCTGCTACCGACCTGCTAGTGCCGGGTCAGCTCCCCGTCTAGTCGCCTCTCAGCTTTCCCATACCCCGGGCCCTTGAACAAAAGACTTTTTTTGGTATGTCAAGTATCATTGTATGATGGAACCAGGAACAAAAACACTTGCGATCCTTACTTTGTGAATTAAAACTCTTTGTCTCATGTTCAGCCAAATGTCCAACCCTGGCCGCGCACCGTTTTAGCTGATTTCTGATCCTGGCCGTACACCAAATTCGGGAACTTTTGACCCTTGCTGAACGGAGAATTTAGGCTCTTAAACTCAGTGACTTAGGGTCACAGTCCCAAAGGTTGTAGTTGAAGCTTAGGCCCACTTTTAGCTCCACTCCAAGCGTGAGCTCTTGTAGTGAAATGAACACAAAACGGCTGCAGTGAAACATACATCTATACAAGCTATGTCATGTACACGTAACTGGTGCTACATCTGATCACGCCTCCCGAGTTTAACATCTCCCAGAAGTTAAGCGAGTCAGGGTTAGCACTTCAGTGAATTAGCTCGTAGCCCTTCAGTACACCTTGGTCTTGAAGAAGTACCTACTCTAGCTCAAGCCGTTCAAGCTTTCAAAGTCAGTTCATGCTCACCTTCCAGGTAGTGGAAGTTCATGCCTTTCATAGCTGTAGTCATTTTCTCCTCGGTGACAGCTTTCGTTAGCACGTCGGCCAACATCCGGTCGGTGCCTTCTTTCTTGAGACGAAACTCTTTCTTTGCTGTGCGCTCTTGTACCCAGTGGTACTGAGTGTCAACATGTTTAGCTCGTCCCAAGCCTCGACGGTTTCCCATGGCGATGCCAGCGGAAGCGTCCATTGTCACCTCTTTGCTGGGAAACAATCCCCAGTCTCTTGCAGTTGATGCGATTCCAAGCATTTGACATGCTCCCGAAACAAGTCCGTAAAACTCGGGTTCGCCACTGCTCAGGGAGACAACTCCTTGGCCTTTGCTGTATGTAGTGAGACAGCATTTGTTGGCCATGAGCGCGCCTCCTGACACACTCTTTCGTGTCCTTATGCAACCTGCATGGTCGGCGTCTGACCACATATTGAAGGGGTTGCAGGTGCTTTGGTTTGGAAACAACTGTGCAACTCTTGGTCGATACCTGACATATCGAGCCAATCGTTTCAGCATATTCCAGTGCCTCGATGTTGGATTCTGTAGACCTTGTGCCAATGAGCGCGTTGCAGTTTGCAGATCAGGTCGATCCTGTGCCAAATACGCGGCTCTCATAGCAATAGATCTATACATCGTTGCATCTTCGGCACTCAGCGGAACTTCTTCGTGTTGGAGTTCCTCTTGACTTGGCTTGGCCAAAGGTGTTTTGACCTTGCCTGGTTGACCAGTGCCTAGCCACTTGGATCTGGTTCCCACCAAATGCCTTCATTTGACCAGGTGATGATGCGATTCAGCACTCTGATCTGTTGGCTTGCCTTTGGTGAACCTGGTGGACCAAGAATGCCTCGTTCCACAACTTGCCATTCTTTGGCTGCTGAAGTGTGAAACCATTTGATGTCATCAAAGCTTCCAACAGTCGTGAAATCGTCTCCATGCACTTCTGTTCGAAGTTCTCTGGATGCATGGTAGTAGATGCATGGGTTGGACTTGCCTTGAACAAATCCTAGCTTCTTCATGAACTCTGCAATGGTCAGCTCCCAATTCATGGGTGCATCTCTGGTGCCATAAAGGCTTCTGACCAATTTTCCTACCACATCTCCATCTTCTGGCTTCTTGCCTTCGGATGGAATTTCAACATAGAGTTCTCTTGTTGCCTTGGAGTAGAAATGAGCTCTCTTCACATCTAAAAATCCTAGAAATGATTGTTTTGATTTTCTTCTTTCGCCTTTCTCCAATGGAAGGCTGTCGCTGACTGCGATGGTTAGCAGTAGCTTCAAAGCTGCAAGGCTCGGCATGGCTGCGAAAAATTCGTCAAAACCTGAGCCTCTTTTGATCTCTTGCGCTACCAATCGACTTCTATAGAGAGGATTGTTTTCATCTTGCTTGTTCACATCTACCCATCGAGTTCCAATGATTTTGGTTCCTTTTGGAACTTTGCTTCTTGGGATCTTCTCCCAAACTCCCATTGATTCGACAATGTCGATCTCATCTTTTCTGGCTTTCTCTACCTTCTCAGGTAGAAGCTCTTTTCCACTGATGTCATCATAGTACCACCAGTCTTTTGCCTCTTCTGCCATTTCTTCTGGCAGTGGGATCTTCTCTTCACACACTGGTTTCTCTGGGTCGATGCTAGATAGCACTCTCTCTCTGTCTTCTAGGATTAGGCTTTCTAGAGCCATCTCAATGCTTTGGATGTCTCTTGTTCTCTCGGCTTCATCTTCATGTTCGCCTTCTGCCTTTCTCTTCTTGTCTCTATCTACTCTGGCTTTTGCTGTGGGTGATCCTGCTGGTTCATGTTGTTCTTCGTGTTCTCTCTTTTCTCCATGTGGTTCAGGTTCGCGTGGTCTGCGAATACCTGATGCTGAAGCTGATGCGGTGCCTGGTGTTGGTGGTGCTGCTTCTGGTTCGTACCAAAGTTCTGTCACAATGTCCATCTTGTGTGGTAATGCTCCATTGAGTATCTCTGGTGGAAGATCTGTCGTCATGACTCCACTCTCGATGATTGCATTGTTTGCATGGTTTCTTGTGACTCGATGCCAGACGGTAGACCAATCAGGTCCTCCTGGCATAGTGGTTTGGAAACAATAAGCTTCGACGTCAAGTCGTGCGAACACTCGACATGAATCGGGAACTCCCGATGGTCTTTTGCTTTCATATCCATGAAGGATTTGAGGTCTCTTGCCACTGACTGGTTGTGGCATGCCAGTGATTGCCTCTCCAACTCGGCTTTCATGTCTTGCCACTCTTGGGTTCTCTTCTTCTTCTCCTCTAATGCACTCTTCAAGTCTGTCTCGACACCTGTTGGTGTGATGGATGCCTGTAGATCTCTTACCAATCTGTGTGGCATCACAAGCTGGGCAACCTGCAGTGTACCCAAACTTTTCCAGGTCTTTCTTGGTGATGTAAAGCCTTCTCAGCTTTCTTTTCTTGTCATCAATTGCCGGTGGTTGCACCAAAGCTTCACCACTTGGGCTGGCAATGATTGGTTCCCTTGGGGCTGCAATCGCTGGTTCTTCGCGAATTGCTTGAGGATCCCAGGGAATTCCAGTGATCGATTTCAGCAACTCTGAATCATATCGATCTTCTTCTGGCTTTCTTCGAATGGACTGCACTGTGAAAACGCCACAGGTGTTTCCTACTATCTTCTCTGTGGTGGTGTCTTTCACTCCTAGAAAAATTCCTTTGGTCCATTGGGCCTCGAACTTGTGGCCTCTCTTGAGGTATTCGATGGCCTCACCAAAAGGTGGAATTGCTACTTTCCATTCACGTCCACGAAGTCGTGAATACGGAGTCTTTCCGTCTTGAAGTTCGGTAGATCGGAAAAACAGATTGTAGACTGTGGATGCGTGTTCAACTAACCAGGTCAAAACAGGTGAATCGTCAGGAAGTTTCTCACCATAGTTCGACCCGATTGCGGCTCGAAGAGTCCTGGCTTGTCCTTCCAAGGTTTGAACTGCTCGTTCAATCTCTCCCTTGGATTCTTTGACTCCTTTCGGGCTCTTCTCGATGATCAGGGTTCCTTCAAACCCATTCTTTACTGCCTCAACAACAGAGGTGAGAGCAG